GTATTGTAGTAAAGAGTTTTTTGTTGCATACCCATCTTGCCTTTTGCAATGAGTATTATACCTCAAAGCTCATGATTGCTGTCAGTGTAGTCAGTAGGTGATCATTAGGTACAGGCAGTGTGCGCACTGATTTTGATGAGGAATGTCTTCTCTTCTTAACTGCTCGGGGTCCGAGCAATCAATGCTGGGTCATCGGGATGCCGACGGTACAATGTACTTCTCTCGGGGAGGATGCAATAAATGCTCTGTATTAGGAGCATTTATTGTCTTTCATTTTTGAGCCTTACCGCATTGAATGCGATCTCATCAAGGGAATGGGGTAATTAATAGTTTGCTTTCCAAGTCGCGTGTCAGCAACGGCTTTTGCAAGGAGTATTTTACCTCAAAAGCTCATGATTGCTGTCAGTGTAGTCAGTAGGTGATACATTAGGTACAGGCAGTGTGCGCACTGATTCTGATGAGGAATGTCTTCTCTTCTTAACTGCTCGGGGTCCCGAGCAATCAATGCTGGGTCATCGGGATGCCGACGGTACAATGTACTCCTCTCGGGGAGGATGCAATAAATGCTTTGTATTAGGAGCATTTATTGTCTTTCATTTCTGAGCCTTTACCGCATTGAATGCGGTCTCATCAGGGAATGTGTTAATTAATAGTTTGCTTTCCCAGGTCGCGTGTCAGCAACGAAATACGGTTTCTCTGTCTTCGATGTGATATCATATGCCACAAGTCCGTCCCTCATTGGTTGTGGCCCCCTACATTCCAGTACGTTCTGACACTAATTGTGTAAGACGAGGTCATGATGAATAGTCTAGGCTAATGACCTGTACGTCAATAGCTTATCCTGGAGTAGAGGAGGCGTCTAGGACGGGTACACCTCGGCACCGAGGAGAGGCCTCATCTCGAAACCGAGGGAGGGATACCGACCGAGTACCATATCAGACCGAGGCTACGTGTCGGTTGTAAAACATACTGAATGCATGATCCTATATGACGAGTACCTCGGGGGCGAAGACACGTGTCTTCATCATGGAATATTTCAGAAAAGTCTCATCACTATGGCCTCTGAAAGAGCTTTGAAGGAGCAAAATTGTTGGTTGGACTAGACCTGACGGGAGGGAAAAGTAAGGGTCAAAGATGGATTGTTTGGTAAAGTTCACGGCACTTAAATGTTTGACCTCTAAGATTGTTCCAAGAAATGTGGCAGGCCCAAAAAATGGAAGACTAGCCAAAATAAACATGTTGTAAAGTATAAATCAGTCCGTGAATTTATTGAATAAATTTTGACATACCACGACTAGAATGCTCCATAATTTATTATTAGCTCTACCCCTTAGTGCGCTAATCTTGTATATTGAACTAGAAGATGTTGAGGTAAAAAAACACAAATGAATCAAATATCGTAATATCCTACCAGGGTTGGCCTTTAAAATTAAGGTGAACGAACCTATATAGTTTAAGAATATTCATAATTAATTATTTACCTTTTGACCAGTTTACTAGTCTGAGAAACTAACAAGTTGGTACAAGAGGCATGTCGGAGGACCTTTAGGCTGTGAAAGTGTGCTACTTTGCCATCATACCCTTTATTCGTGGTTCGCACAGCTGCCAACATGATCATTATTGTCTTAATAGATGATGATGAGTATAAATCTATTGTAAATGTTTAAAAGAAACAAAAATATATAACTAACGTACTTATTTGGTAAAGCTAAGTTCAATGAAGCGTGATCATAAACCATTTACATTGTTTTCACAGCAGTGAAAGCATAGTTTCGGAAAACACAAACGATATCACCTAGTTTACTCTCGTTCTGATACCATTCCAAATAATAAGAAAGGATTAGAAACTGTTAATAATTTTTTTATTTTTTTTTAAGTTCGTCATGAATTTATAGTACTACTTATGGTGGAACAAAACCATATCCTGCTTACTAAATTATGCACGAGTTCATGCAAAGAAGTGATGAATTTGGTTGATGGTTGGATTACTTGAGAGAAAAACTACTTGAATTTATGTAAAAGAAACGATGAATAGTGTCTACAGTGGAATAACTCATGGGAGGGAACCATGGATTTTGTTTTGCTTAATTTCAACATCAAAGATTTTTTTGGATTCAGAGATGAAAAACCCAACCAAAGAAAGTGTGTCTTTGTATGGACAGCAAGTGTGTGTGTGCGTGTTGTTTTTTTATTTGGGGGGGGGGGGGGGGTTGCAAAGCCTTGGTCTGAAAAACTGGCAGTGCTTCAGTGGAAGAAATTGTAGAGTATGAATAGCAGCACAGCTAGCAATGGAGGTCCCCATTCAGACCCTTCTCCTTTCTGGAAAAAGGCACATAGTGTGAGGAAGATCACAAGCAGCAGGATAGATCCCAATCCATGTCCAGCTCCGTCGCTCTCGTGATCAGCCGCCACCTCATCTTTGACATGAAATGCTTGGAAAGAAGAAGGCAGATAAACACTTGCGAAGTATATGATCATTATCAGAACCAGAGGGCCAAGAGGCACATTACTAACAGCAAAAGTTAGGAGAATTAGTATGAGAGGTAAAACAATTGATGTACTCAAGTACTGAACCAAAAGGACAACCACAAGACAAACGACCAGAACAGAATTGAAGCTTGTTTCCTCTCCATCAGAGTCTGATGAACCACCATCTTGAGGGAACGAACATGGAATAGCAAGCCTAAGATGCCAAATAGTACTAGTGGGATTACCGGGGACGGCCCTTCAGTCATTTTACAAGCCTGTTCTTCGACTGTGCTTTTACTTATACCACTGATAATGGTCTTTGAGGGGGAGGAGGAGGTGGGGTGTTTGTGATCATCTATGTTGCAACATAAAAGGCTGCTAAGAGGTGGGAACTTTCAACTAATCAAAGGGTAGTTACAAATAACTGAATTTTTAATGTTTGTTTTGTTAAACTACAAAGTTGATATTAGTTGCTGTTACTGTTCAACAACTTGGTTTGTTTAGTACAATTAGTTTCACATTTGCAGCGCTGCAAAAAGATTACATATCTAAACAAAGGGTTATCTTAAATCCAAGAATAAGAAAGACATGATTGTGGAATCGGGGTTGGGAAGCTAACTGTACAATGAAACAAGTTATGCATTTCCACCTCTAAGTCTGCTGGTTTTGAGTTAAGAAAGCTGATCAAATGAAACAGCAAACAGGAGGGGGAGGTGAAAGTTGAAACTTATATAATTCTGTTTACACCAAAAAATAGCAAAATCATAGGGTGACACGTGTAAGAGATTCAATGATCATGAAAGAGTATCTAAGAGTCCTTGATTGATAGAACAGTTAAGGATGTAGGATTTTAAGAATCCCGAGAATGGGGGAGAGACGTGGTATCATCAGCCGTCACTTGGAGACAGTTCACCACACGTTTACGCGGTTCGAGGAAAAAGGCTATGATCACAGTAATTGTTGAAATAAATAATTTCAACGGTTAAAGGTCATCCTTATAAAAAACAGAGGTCAGGTCACAAAGAAATGGTTCACGATTAAACACAACAAACATTATACAAAGTTAGCCTACCTTATTCTCACTTATTCTTGTTTTCGAACAACTTTATTTTTCTTGTAACCCATTACTCCGGTGATCTTTTACTGCTTTTATTTAATGCTAAGTACAATATTTGTTTCATCTTCTGAATTTAGTTTACTTGTTGCTTTGCATTCCAGTGTTTTTTTTTTTTTATGTTTCAGTCCATTACACTGTTAGTTTATTTAAAGTCCTTAATCTTACATCTAGCTACAATTGTTAGAATGTTAATCTCAACTTAACTTTATTAAACTCTGCCTCAAGTACAAAATTCAACAGGCTGCCTCAAAGTAAAGCATTGATCATCATGAAAGATAGAAGAAACTATAGGTGTTTATGAAGGAAAGATCAATCTAGTTTCAAATTGTCAAAGTTTAGAAAAATATTGGCATTGGCACGAAAACCAACTATACAGGAGGGGCATCACTCATCTTTGAGCACTCTATACTATTTGAGCAATAAAACACTAAGGCTACCGTAATCCTTCATAGTAAAATATATCACTTTGACTGAATCACTAAATTTGTATTTGTTTGTGTTGAGTCTCCTTAATTACTATATTAAATACTTGATAGGCGGTCCATAAACACATTTTGAGCATCATTAAAATTAAATCAAAACAAAATGTAATTTGGTAAAATTCAACTATAGATAACTTACAAATGCGCTCAATTATTTAATATTTATCTTATTTAGATATAGACTACTAAAACAAAATTCGTTGAATAATTAGATTAGATGTAATAAGAAGTTTTCAACTTAGGTTCGACTCTCTCAAAAATTGATCCAAATTTAACTATTGACAACCTACTCACTATTTACTAGAAAGGCACAAGAAGTTTTGATTACTGTTACGTGGTCATTCTCTTCAAACCAATGATTACCCTCCACAGTGAAAAAATCCTAGTTCCACCACTTAGCCTTACGTCTTTTTAGACTCGAAGCAAAGTCATGTGTTTCTCATGTTAAAATTATATTATGAGTTTGAGTTCTTAACCAGTTTCTGTGACATGAAAATAAGGCCATTAACAATTTAAATTTTCCTCCCAAATTAAGAGGCGAGCATTAGAAACCATATTATGAGTGAGAGAGAGAGAGAGAGAGAGAGAGAGAGGAGGATCCCAACCTTAGAATTGTACTTGTCCCTGAAAGTTTGTAAATAATTTGGGGAAACAATAGTGATGGGAACAAAAATTATAGTAGGGTTGTTCGCCCTGCCCGACGGGTAGGAATTATGATATATCATCTTTCTATTTAATATTTTGCGAAAGAATTTTTTTTTGACCTACTCTACCCGATCAAGTGTACTATTCCTATCCGAATTCTGTCCAAAACAATCGGGTAGAAAATTAGGTGAACACAATATTTTTTTGTTATTAATTTTTGAATTATTTTAACAATTTATTTAAGTAAGTTGCACAAATTAACTAACACAATAAACTAATTACACTAAAGAAAAAACAATAAATTCGATATTACATAAACAATTACAATAAAAAATAACAAAAAAGTCAAAAACATCAATACATCATATATAAGAAAGTCATAAACATCAATAAAACATTAAAGTTTCTAGATTTTTAAATTTTAATTTTTAGAAATTAACATATATATATATATGTGTGTGTGTGTGTGTGCGCGCGCGCGAGTAGGATAAAGTAAGAATACTAAAATTTTATAGGTATTCGCATTCTTACCCGATTTTTTGCGGGATACCAAAAGTATTTTGTTGGCCCACCTAATTCTTTCAGGTAGTCTATCAATAGAATCGGATAAGGTAAGGTAGAGTCAAAATTTGCGAGTAATTGAAAATTTAAACACCCCTAAATTGCAGTAAGAAATGAAAGTATAACAATGTTCAGGCATACCATGATGATACAATAAACCATGTGGACATTTGTCTGAATCGAGCCCAATAGGTAAAGGCTTGCTATGAATTAGGCCCATGGCGTGTCTACCGGGCTAACATGCAGTTTGCCCATGCCAGGCAGCGGGCCGCAGGTCAGATTTCATAGCAGGGAGGTACAGAAACTTTGTCCACCCTTGAGTTGGGGTGGGGCGAGTTCACCTTCACGCTGAAGAGTTAAAGGTGCAAAGGTTTTTCTAGATTGAATAATGCATCATAACCACTGAATTGTTAGTGAAATTCAATTAACGCTCTAAGATTTACTGCTAATCCAATAGTTATAATAAATAAAATTATCACATTAGGTTTCAAAATTAGATTTTAATATCTGTACTCATACTTAATTTGCACCAATGTGATCGTACAAAGTAGGTTTATGGGGAGATCAACATTTCGTATACGTATATAGATTTGATGATCCAATGCATTACAACCCTTAGATTAGTAGTAAATCTCAATCAATACTAAAGCTCACTCGCAATTCAATGATTATGAACGATTAAATCATCAAATTATGTTGGTAAATTAGGTATAAGTAACATTGCTCTTCTGCATATATAGTTTGCATAATATTATTTCAAGGGTTAATTCAACTGTTTATTTCTTTGCAAGAATTAAAATCACCTAAATTTCCAAGGGATTCCACAACTTCTCAAACTCCCTCTCTTTTTTTGTCTTTTCAGAGCTATTTTTCAATGCCTGAAAAACTATACTTGCAGATGAGCATGAAGTATTTACCCAAAAGGACTGTAGGGATCAAATTAGCATTATGACAATAAACTAAATGTCATAATCATTTTGCAGGTGCAAAGAACCACACACAATTGTGTCCTTGTCGCCCAATAGGGATTAAACACAGAATAACATTTATGTATGTACTTTTGCTGAAAAACGAAATTATCATGCTTCTCTTGAGTGGAATCTTTGGTGGTTTCCACTGTGTGTGTTTGTGTGTAGATGAGAGAGAGAGAGAGAGAGAGAGAGAGAGAGAGAGAGAGAGGTTACATGTTTAAGCTTATCCATCTGTTAGATATCAGTCAATTTCTTTGATTAAAGAAAGTTAGGTTAGGTCCCACTCAACAAACTTATGATAGGTATCCTGTATCCATCCAGTCATGCCATTTTATAACCTATTTCTATGTTCTGTTATTCAGTAATAAGCTGCATAGTTTGCCACCCTATTTGAATTCTCACTGACAGTACATTTTTGTTTACCACCATATGACTTACTGAAAGTTTGGTCCAAATTCAGTATGGGTATTGCTAGAATTGTAACAAAGGCAAAGTTGCACTATGTCTTTCTTCCAAGGAAATGACCAATTACTTTGGCAGCAGCCAAAAGAAAATTATATCCCACAGAACTACACTGCTTGGTACATTCATATAAAAATACATACCATATCACAACCCTCTGAGAGATCTGCTTCATCACCTAATTAACCAAGATCATATGACACCATTTCACATCTCTAAGCAGCTGTTCATGCCTCCTGACATTAGAACCAAGACCCCCAATAATGTAGTCTGCTTTTGAAGTCTCTCAATTGAGTTGAGGAACAGTATTTAAATATGTATTGATCTCATTCTCAGAACCATGCAACTCAAACATGGTTAGATGTAAGTGCATACAAAGTTTCAAACAAGATTATACTTAGTGCCATCAGCCATGATCTCTCTGGTTTAGGAAGGGTTCATGAAGTCAAGGAAAAGGCAAATGTATTGTACGAACAAGTCAAGGAACTGTCAACCGACCTTTTTGTCCCAAAGATCTCCATGATGATTCAAGCTGTAACAAATGCAGTTTCTCAACAAATGATTCTAAAACTTCAGCCTCTTCTTCTGGAGCAAAGGCCATGCAAATGCTAAGCTCTTGGACTGCCTCTCCGTATTCCCTGGTGTTTGCCAACAACCATTGTTACACCAGCCAAATGGAAAGAAAGAGAAATATTAACAGCCATATGAAACAAAATATCATCAAAGACAATTAGGATCAACATATTACCTGTTATAATACAACAGCATGCCATGGTCTCTCCTCAAAACCCAATTATGTGGCTGGAGAATAAGTAATCTTTCCGCAGCCATAATAGCCAGCCTAAGACAGGAAACAAAACACATCAAATATAATGCCATTCTGACCAACAAAAAACAAGCAGAATCTACTATCTTAGATAAAAATGTAGAGGATTTGTTAAATATTGAACAAGCAAAAAGGTGCTAAATATTGCCATATTACAAAAGTCATAAAGCAACATGATACATTCTTGTGTCCCATAAAAGAGCAAAAGAAAGGACTATAGTTCATAGTTCAGCCAAATGGATTAGCCTCACGCTCATCTGATTTATTCAGATGTCCCTGAAGGAACCTCAAACAACCATTCGATTCTTAGAATGTATGTCCCAACTGAGAAGAAAATATATTTAAGAAACCACAGAAGTTAAAAAACAAAAGCTTTGATTGTATGAGGCAACATTTCTTCCCAATCCACAGAAATAACTATTAAAAAGATAAAATGAAAATCTGACAAGACATCGTAGTACAAGAAATTGGAGATTCTAAAAACATATCTCAATTTCAATATACCATACATACAATAACCTTGAGCAAAAGGTTTAGGTCCTTTAGAATTAAATTGCTTGTTTGTTTCCTGAAATACCACCAAAAGATTCTACAAGCATCCATGAACATAATATTTCGGCAAATCAAAAGTAGGCAGACTACTACATGAACAACTTATGGCCAATCCTTCAGACTATGTCACTATTGCATTTGTCCAGTCCATCATGTATCTCATGTCATCAATTAATCAGCATGGAACATAAAGTGCAAGAAGAAATTCAAGTTCCACAAAGAATATTGGTTCCGCCTCTATAAGATGGTGTCTTCCTCTTTACAACACCGGCATTGTTCATGCTTCTATTAAATACGTCAGTGTTCTGTCCTTATCATCCGTGGTGCAGTTGTCCCTAATTGTTCTGCAACAAAAAATCTAAACAAATATGCTTTATGGAAAGGAATTTTACAGCTGCAAATGTTTAAGGGCATCAACCAAGAAAATGCTCTCTAAAAGTGCTCACACGCTTGAAAAAGTAAGGCAAGCATTGACAGCCTCTAATCTGTACTCATAAGTCCATATGGTACGGTGACTCCTATTTCGCTCTCCATAGAGATTGTTGTTCACAGGGATGCAAAATCAAGATGAATGACCAAACTGCATCCCAGCTTTTCTGAATACAACCACATTCTCAACGATAGGTGTGAATAAAAGAACATAAGTCGACCACCACTGTCCCCAACAGAAAAAGAAAAAGAGGAAGAATAAAAAAAAAAGAAGAACTACTGAGAAAAAAGCATATTCAATAGGAACTTCGTAACTGTAAATGTTGGACAAACTTGGGCCTTCTATAGTGGAAGGCTAGTGTAAAACTGTAAATAATAAAATGCAGTTCAAATGTTCAAAATGCAAGTTCTACCAATGCCCGATAAGATACTGACATCTGGAGCATGGATTGGCAATCATATATAATTGATCCTCATTCCGGGTTTGTATTTTTAAATAGACTATTATGTTATATGATTAGTGCAGGGATGTATCAAGATCATAATGAAGCGGCACTCAGCAGTTCTTAGAACCTAGATATTTTGTGTCAAGGCTGTAAGTAAGAACTTCAAGCAGCACAATTTGCAGATACGATATTTCAATGAGCATTTTTTGTACGAAACATAATTGGAATGTGGAACAATGTTATCAGTCCAAATTCACAATTCTCCCGTTTCTCATGCCAATCTTGCAATATTACATTCTTGAACCTGTAAGGACAACAGAAAATAGTGCCTACACAATCAGGACAGTGAAGGAATAGTTGTAAATAAGATACACAGGGGCATAAGAACAGTACCTCAGATCTTGAGGCCGCAACAAAGGGAAGTTTGAACCATCAATCTTGCTAAATTTTTCATCGGCATGTACAGGCCTAAGCGCAGATGTTAGCATCAGTCCATAGTTCATTCTCGAAGCACGTTTCCAATGAAGCCTCTGCGATATTTGTAAATTCATTTCAGTCACTTCATGGTTGGGAAGCAAAAGGAATTACACGTAATGTTCAACACGAGGACAACAGGCATTGCCTAAAGAAACCACTGTGTACACTAGAAATTCTGCAAGGAGTAGAGCTTACAATCAAATTGGCTAAGGCAATCCCAATAATGTCTCGATTTGTTGCAATATCAAGCCCCAAAAGTGAATTGCTATCAATGTCTGAGGCCTTTGATCTGGGGTTTTCCACACACCTTCCATTGACAACTCCAAACAAGCTGTGTCCTGAAGTTACCTTGAATAGCTCCTACAATGTGGGTGATGTACAGAATCAAATTCTGTAAAATTAACTAAAAAATAGGTGTTCCCATAGGATAGGGAAAAATGAGCTAAAATATAATCGATGCGTTTCTAAAAATAGGCACTTATATGCTACCATAAAATTTCACATTAGTCACGAGCTTAAAAACCAACACACCTCAGGGTTTCCAGTTTGGGGCCATATCAAAAAATCTTCCCCAACTCGAGATCCCACAATGGTCAGATTTAGTCTTCGACAAACCTCGATATAAATAACGCTAAGCAAAATTGCTGTAAACAAGGTAAAAATAATGTCAGGCAGCATCAAATGTCCAGTATATAAGAGAAACATGCATTATGCAGAAGTTTTCAAAAACTTTGGATTATGAGCTAAACAAGAAGAATGCATCCAATAACCAAGCAGCAAATGTACAAAATAAGGATGAAGATGTACCACTGCCGCATCCAGAGCTTAATACCCAGTGCAAGTATGAATATTTTGAATCTACTAGTACAGGTGACCTTTTGAAGCCTCTCAACTCAAAAAGAACTACGTTTACTGCCTCCAAAACTTCAACTAAATGGCAACCTATGTCTCTTGAAACTAGCTCTGCCTCAACTTCTTTGGCAATGGCATCCAACTCAGCCAGCCATTCATTTATGCTCTTCCCAGCCAAGGGCATAGCCTCGACACATTTATACTCTTGTGCATCAGCTGGCACTGAAGCATCTTTCCTTTCATTTTGAAGTGAATGAACATCCATCTCTCTATTGAAAGCCATAAATCCCTCATCTTCAGCAGCAATGTAAAGCAAAGCCTGCAAATTGCAATTTGGAAAGTCAGTTTCTCACACGAATTATAAATTTTGTATTCCCAAAAGGCGTAAAAGAAATAATTATTTCAGCCTTCAGAATATGATGCTTACTAGAAACAAGTTCAGCAGAAGAGACAGAACATAAAAATGCTTTCACAGGAAGGTATCAAAAATAAATTTCATCTTAGGGGTTGGATCGCCAATGCGAATAATTTGTGTCTTGGTGGATGAGGTACATCAGAAAGAAACATAATCACTAAAAATAGAAAGTATAAGCATATTCATCATCTCCATTCTTATTGAAAGATTAAGAGCATAGCAATAATACTAATGTTTATCCAATCGAAAACATCTTCGCACCCATATAAAATGACAGAAACAGGCAACAATTCACCTTTGCAATGGAGATGTCTTTATCTTTGGACTGAAACGATATCTCCCGTGTAAATTTCTCCCTAGCAGCCTTTAGAACCTGGCAAATATAATATCATCAATCAATACACTAAAGTGTATTGTCCAAAACAAATTAACAGCAAAGAAAAACAAAATATCACAATTGAATGATTACCAAAAAATAATCAATGGTATTAAACAGATCCAATCTTACTAATCTAAAAAGCGCTAATAGACAAAACAAATGTCTGAATTAATCAATTAAGGGAACCACAACACTAATACAAAGAAATGAATAAAGTAATTGCAACAACGAGAGAGACCTCCGGGTTGAAATTTGGAAGGGATGCAATTCTAGTTGTGGCTAAAGCAGAAGAGGCCAGAAGTGAAAAGCTCGATCGCCTCTTCATCTGCGCTGCAGTAGTCGTGACAAATTTGCTCCTCCTCCCTTTCTCATTCAAATTCCAACATCCACGACCATCAAAACCATACCTGGTGATCGTAAACAACAAAGGGATATTGGGGGTTGCCTAGCTAGCACAAATCCTTCTCCAAACCACTAAAAAATTAAGTGAAAATAACAAGAAGAGAAACGAAACAAATCAAAAGCCTCATCCACAATACAACGTTTAATCGACCCATTTCATCTTGTGAATGAAAATAACAATTACCTGAAACCCAGACCACCATTGTAACCGCAACCACCACAAATTGCCAAAGCTGCTGAACCATTAGACAAAAATACACCCACCATTGTGTTTGGCTCAATAAAATAACTAAATTTCCAATACGGGATAAAGGGGGACGATTACAGAGAGAGGGAGAGAGAAAAGAAAAGAAATAAATGAGGAAAACAGGAGTTGAAGCTTGAAGGGGTAATCACGCTTTTTCTTCAGGATATAAAGAAGGCTTGGCAGTGAAATAAGAAGCAGTGATTAAGGAGTACGAGGGGTTACATGCGGCCATATAGGGCACATAGTAAGTACTTCCAGAAGACAAGGAAGACGATGACAAAGCACCAGACGAGGAAGAGAAACGACAGCAAAAGCGGCTAGACAGAGAGTGGAAGATGACGATGATACAAGAATTCCCAAAATCCATGGTATTGGCCAATTGATGGGACTCCAATTCTTGCATCACCCAACACCCAACTCTATTTTATCCTCCCCTCCCCCTCCCCCTCCCCTCGCCCTATCTCTCTCTCCGTATCTGTAGACCTGTATATGTATATGATCGAGTTGCCCTTTTTTAAGGGTGCCGTGAATATGTTAACATATCTCCATTAAAAAAACCTCAATCATGCTATTAGATACGGAATTAAATAGACAAATATTTTAGGATGTCCCAAAATAAAGTAGTGTTTTTGGGAAGACTTTGTAAGAAAAGTGATCAGTGGCAAGAGAAAGACAGGGATAAGGTTATTTAGAGGTATATACAATTGTGCAAGTCACAGAGAGAGAGAGAGAGAGGTCTCCCAATTGAAAGAATGGGCACACAAAGAAGGCATATCCGATATGTGGAGATTGGGATGACGATGGAATGATTCAATCTCCATGATTGGACCAACGATTTTCTAGGCTTTTTTGAGCTACCCCATCTGACGTTTGAGTGTTTGCCCCGTGCCCCCACACCCCAACCATCTCTCTTTTAAATATCCCAATTGATTAGTTTGCATGACCATAGGTCCAATAAGCTGGAGGTGAACCCACAACCATAATTCAGTGGTATAAAAATAATTTAGGACGAGTTACAAATTTAAATGTATTGAGATTGATTCTCGTTTATATTTTTTGTTAAAATTGATACAAATAAATAGGTCTAGTAATAAAGATAAGTCTTAACGGATTCGTGCTAAAAATTATCACAACACAGATATATAACTCGTATATTATACAGGTGCATGACATAACCATGTGTATTTAATTACAAATTCTAATTTTGTAATAAATTGGGTCATCTATTAAACGGATAATCGGGGTGGTGAATGGATAATCAAGATACATATCAATTCATTAAATGGAGTTAGACATGTTTACTTATTTACTCCTTGAACCCATCCATTATAAGATCAAATTCAATTCTGCTTTTTATTTTTGTAATTTTGGATAATATTGTGCTTGTCATAATTTGTTTGGACCCTTCCTAAATTCTTAGAGGTTATTCAATAGTTAAGCTTAATTTTTGGTAACTTAAAGATCTTACGTTCAATCCGTTCTTACACCCTTAAAGATTAGTTACCCTTGATTTTTTTGAAATATACTCTGACTCAACTCAAGCTATTGTAACTAACCAATGAAATCGAGAGAATAGTCATTAGTAAACATGAACACTCTAAAAAAAAAGGGGGGGTTAGATTTATGTTCATTCATATGATAAATAAGTTTGGTTGGTCAACGTTTGTAACCTGAATTCATTTTTTGAACAAATGGACCTTTTTGCCCTTAAAATATCCTTCTAAACATTATGTTATAATTTCAAATCAAAATCTACACATTTCTCAAAAAATATTTCTAAATATCCTATTTTATATATATATATGTGTGTGTGTGTGTGTATGTTTAAAAATTTATTTGTAATAAAAAAACATATTTATATATATGTATCTTTTCTTTCCTGCCACTTTTTCTCCAATACCAAACAATAAAAAATTAATTTTTTCAATTTTCCATCAATTGTACCAAACACAAAAAAGAGATAATGTTTTTATTTCCTTCAATGATAGAAAGTCTATTCCTCACATTTTTTTATCCTTCTAATTTTTTATCTCTCCTATCAAAAAGAGCATAAAAGTTAAAAATTCAAGTTTTGTTTTCAAACGATTCGAAACTATAAAAAAAAAAAAAAAAGGCAAACAAATAAACCAACACACTATTTTTGACTCAAAACAATAATATTGAGAAAATTTTCATTCACATGCCCTACAAATGACCTTATCTTCAAAGATATATTTTGTATGAATTTTGTTACATTCTCTTCTTGTTTATATTTATGTGATTTATTCACACTCCTATTGTAAGTATTGTTCTGATGAAAATTGTTGGAAATATGAATCTGAAAGATAAAGTGAAGGACCAAGTCAGATGCGAACTAGGAGATGTTTGATAACACTACTTAATACTTAAAACTGAATACTTTAAGTCTTTAATGAATTAAATTTGTTTGATAACTAAAAATTCATACCACTTAATATTTTTAGCACTTCTTCAAAATATGCTAAACTTTTTAAGTAGCAAGTCACTTACTTATCACTTAATGTTAAATATGTTAATCAGTAATAATTTTATAAAATTATTATAATGGACAAATATACTTTCAATGCATTTTACACTCTTAACTTTTTAATATCCACCATCTACAACCACCACCATTGTGCCGCTGTCGTTACCATCGCCAACATTGTGCCACTGCCGCCACTAATTCAATACTTAAATTTTAGTGGATGCCAAATAATTTGTGAATTAAAAAATTTAATATCTAGCACTTTAAATTTTACATTCAGCTTTCAATATTTAGTTTTTAATTTTATCAAATACCACATAGGTCACTCTCTTAAGACGATTTGCGCCTTTTTTATGAAAGAAATACAATGCAGAAGGTAGCAGTGTGTTGTCTCCAAGATACAACTGTATAGCATAATTGATTGTTGTTTCACTTAGATCTGTACAATCGAATGAAGTAGAAACTTCATACGACACCTTTCTATATTGCCCAAAAACTAATGCAGTAGAAAATAATATATTAGATATTTGGATCTGAAATATATATATTATAAAAATATTACTATTGTTATTTCATAATTACTTCCGTATTTAATTAGATAATAATTGTTAGAATTAAATAGAAAAATAACTATTAGAAAACTGACCATTAGACCCCCGGTATTCAGAAACTAAATTTTTAATAAGGAAGTTATTACGAAAAATAATAAAAAGTGGATTTGATATTATTTAATTACTTTCATATCTCCTCTGCTAGTCTCACCCCAGCACACGTGAGAGTTTTAAGATCTCACTTAACTCCATGACTAAATAACACTAATATGTATGTGTGTGTGTGTGTATATATATATATATATATATATATATATATATATATATATATATATATATATATATATTAGTCATAACCCGTGTCTGAAGGCACGATAAAATATAAAATTCGAGCGTCCAAAAAATCGATCTCACTATATTAAATTTTTTAAAACTATATTAACTATAAATTAATCAAATATTAAATGATTAAATATATGATAGAAATGAGTTATGTGATATTTTTAAAGAGAAAATATATAAATGATTAAATATGTGATAGAAATGAGTGATGTGATTTGACGTTTGAATATGACAAATGAATTATGGGTGAGGTAAATGATTAGTGATGATTTTGAGGAGAAAAATATGACTAGAATAAAATTTAAACACACTCATGTTTTATTATATAGATATATACATACATACTTTTAGAAAATTTGATAAAGGTAGGCTTGAGTTTCCCACATAAAAGCCCTCTTTTGTTAAATACTATAATAAAAAATGCTAATACCATCTAAATTTTTTATCAAAAGACCTATTATATCCTTCTTAATTATCCTCCTCCTCATTTCTCTCACTCTAGCCCACAACATACTGCACCTCCCAACTTTCTCCAACCACCGAGGGGTGTTTGTTTATTGGGTTTTGGGGGATTTGAAAAGAGGGGTTTAACCAAAATAGTCTAATGAATCAATTATACTCATATTTGTTTATGAGTTTTTAAGGCCTGAGATTTAAATCCCGACCCATGGTGGGCAATCTCAGCCAGACTCATACACATAGTTTTCACCAAACTCACGAAGGATGGGTTTCATATCTACTAACCTAGAATAAAAAGGTGAATTGATCATTGTATCCCTAACAAGTTATTCTATTTACCTAAATCGCATCCCCAACCTTCAAGCACTTCTTTTTTGGACTTAAACAATTATGGATATGGATTGAATTGATTACTAGGTAATTTAATCAATTAAATGATAACTTTGGATTATACTTGTTATTAATATGTGAGTTTCACGTATATTATGCTACTTACCAAACAAATATATGGATATAACTTGTGTACTAATCCCATGTACAAAAGAGGGATTAAGTTTGGGTAGGATTTGATAAAACTAATTCAATCGCCCATTGAAAAACCATCCAAACATGCCCTAGGACCTCTCCTATTTTAAATCCAGTTTAACCCATCTCCTGACACCAGGTAAAGTCATCCATGTAGAGACTCAATTCGACTATTGCCCATCTACTTTAAACCCCATTGAAAAATTAACTAATTTTATAACGCAGCAAGAAAGAGAAGTCATTCATTATGAATACGATAGAAAACAAACCCGAAAACAACTATTAAACACTGTATCAAAAGCACAATACCTAATTAATTGACGATGACAAAGACTTGCGAAATTAAGTGGAGTCTTTTGAATGGAATCTTAAGTAATCTATCACCACCAAAAGATTAGCCCTTAGAAAGTCAGCCAACAACAACTCTTCTATATTCCCATTTTTGGCTTCTTCACACTGTCCGCGGGAGTTGCACAGAGGGTTCTTTCTCTCACATAACATCTATTAATGTAACATAAACATTAATTATATAACTGTATCCATGTTATACCAATTTATCCTTACTTCTAAATAAACATAATTATGTGATTAATTGTCTAATTGTATGATTAACTATTGAAATTAATTTTGTATTCGGGTTAAAATTGAATTTGGACAAAAAATTAGCTTAGTTAATGAAATTAATTTGAATTTGGAGATAAATTTTAGCTTAATTGATCAAATTGATTTGATTTTATATCAATTTGAAATAAGTCAGAATAAATTAACGAAATGAATTAGATTTGGAATAAAATTCGGACAAAGTTATCTTAATTAACAAAAGTGATTAGATTTTATTGGAATTTGAAGATAAATTTACCATAGTTGATGGGCCAAGCCCAATGGTCCAACTCATGTTCTAAGCCTGGTCCAAGTTTTAAGGCCCAATTCCAAGAGGTCTATCAAGTTCAGCCTAATGTGATCGGTCTAGTCAAACTCATCAAGCTCAAGGAGTTACGTCAACATGGAGCATGCAAGGTCATTTGGGAGTCTCCTCTACACCACCAAGAGAGCGTCCAGGAGCCTT